AGGTGGTGGAGGCTGGTACAAATACAACTTATAAAAGACACCTAGATGGGTAAATGAATAGGAAGGGTTTAGAGGGACGTGGACCAGCATGGGACTAGATTAATTTAGGATATCTGCTTGGCATGGACATTTGGATTGAAGGGTCTGTTTCCAGGCTGTACAGCTCTATGACTCAATGAGTCTATGACAATGTACTAACTAGTATCTTGTAGATGGTGAATAGGTACTGGGAACACAACAATAGAGTTATTCACAAAGAATTCCCAAACTCCAAACCTGCTCTTGTAGTCAGTATTTATAAGGCTGATCCCGTTCAGTTTCAGGTCCCTAGGGATGTCAATGTTGGGTGACTCAACAATGCCATGGGCCAATACTTGGATTCTCACTTTTTAAAGATGTATTTGCGTGCCACAATACTACTTGTCACTTAATAAGCCCAAGCCTGAATGTGTTTTATGTCTTCAGAGATTAAAGTCCAAATAACCTGTATGTCAACACAAATATAGAAGGCAATGTTAAATTCATGACGGCATCACTTAATAAATTATCTAATGAGAATGATAAAAGTAGCCCTTTAAACCAAAAACTCCTGAAAAACCAAAAGTACACCTTGTGAAATTCTCAAGAAGACCCCTCAAAAAACAATAATAATTTTGACATTGGCATAGCATCAGTTTCAAAAAAGCAGTATGAACAACCAAGTTGTATGCAATTGTCTGACAAAGCCATCATCACAGGTCTCAGTATGATTCAGTATATGTTTTCAGTGCTCTTTATAAAGTGAGGCATAGAGTCAAAACCAAAGGTGTATGGCTGAACATATAAATCAGCTCAATCTTAATGTGACTATGGGCTAGATAACAGCGCCTCTACGAAGTACGCTTTCAGTAGGTGGGCCATAATGTCGACCGGGTGGCTAGCCTATCACCTTCCCACTACATTTGAGATCATCCCAATAATCCTTACAATTTAATCATATGTAAATAAAGGGTCAATTGAGTTTGCTGATGTGGGCAGCTGAGCAGGAGCAGACGTAGAGTTTCATAGAAATCTAGATAACTGAGGATAAAAATGGAAGATTCTATCTTTAAAGGTGCATTGGGAATACTCCTCCTGAAGACAGTACTCCACTTCCTTTCCATGCAACTGTTATGAAAAACCGACATCCTAATCCCGGTCACCCTATTCGCTAAGCTTTACAAAGTCTCCCAAACCCAATTGCCTGGACTTGCTTCACTCCAGGATCCATTAATGTTGTTGTCTTCGTGAGGCTGCCTGCAATAATCAGCAGCATCCACTACTGAGCTCAATGCATTGCTGGAGCAGCCAGCTTGATAAATAGAGTACACTTGCACTGTATGAACTCGAGTGCTTCAATAAAGGGCAATAGGTTTGACATTAGCCCCTGAGGGTAGGACGTCTTCCCCAATGAGAGGTGCAATTCCCGCATTTAGGTAATTTAGCCTACAGCAGTATGGCAAACCCAGAGACGGCACAATGAAAATTCTTTCCACTGTGATGAATATAAAATTATCATTTGGGAATTTGGATTTTTTTTTTGTTTTAAATACAACAGATGGGTTTCACTTTTGTAAAGGTAACTTTTTTATTAAAGAGGTCAATAAGTCATTTGAAAAAGTGACCTGATTTCTAAGAAAGCATGTAACTTAATAAGTATCTAGCCAGATACCTGTGATGTTAATTGATAAAGTGATTCTACTGATGGCTTATGACATGCAGAAAAACAAATGTTTTGGCGTCTCTAGTAAACTAGTTTGAGTTCAATTCAGCAGAGTCAGGTTTCAGTTTCATGCGAGCAGATGAACAGTTTCACCTTGCTTCACCCTTCTTTAGCAGATGGATTTTTGTTTATCTAAAACTGTTCAGGTTCTCAGAGCAGAGAATAAATTGTAAAACTATTTTGAGTTTTCCTGCTGACATAGTTAGTTATGTAAGAAAGGAGTGATATTTCTCTGGGACTGAATATGTGCTGGAGAAAAGGGAGGATCTAAGTTTTTGATGTGTACGTTAAGATCTTTTCAAACTGACTTACATAGCTTTGATTTTTTATGAAATAAAAAACTTTCATGAAATAAACTTATGTGCCCATGTTATGAGAACCTTGCTCAGTGACTAACCTAGGTAAAGTTGCCACAGTCCAACTCGTTCATAGGGCTAGGGCTAACCTCTCATTAGAGAGACATGGCTGGTGGTGGTTTAACATGAGGGTCAGCACGCCTCAGGCAAGGGAGAGGTTGAGAAGGACAGTCCTTCATGGTAACCTTAGCTGGTACATAGAAACATAGAAGATAGGAGCAGGAAGAGGCTATTCGGCCCTTTGAGGCTGCTGTGCCATTCTTCACGATCATGGCTGATCGTCCAACTCAATAGCCTAATCCTGCTTTCTCCCCATAACCTTTGATCCCATTCGCCCCAAGTGCTACATCTAGTCACCTCTTGAATACATTCAATGTTTTGGCATCAACTACTTCCTGTGGTAATGAATTCCATCGGCTCACCACTCTGAGTGTAGAAATGTCTCCTCACCTCCATTCTAAATCATCTACCCCGAATCCTCATACTGTGTTCCCTGGTTCTGGACACACCCACCTTCGGGAACATCCTCCCTGCATCTACCCTGTCCAATCCTGTTAGAATTTTAGAAGTTTCTATGAGATCCCCCCTCATTCATCTGAACTCCAGCGAAAACAATCCCAAATGAGTCAATCCCTCCTCATACATCAGACCCACCATCCCCGGAATCAGCCTGGTAAACCTTCGCTGCACTCCCTTGAGAGCAAGAGCATCCTTCCACAGAAAAGGAAACCAAAACTGCGCACAATATCCTAGGTGTGGTCTCACCAAGGCCCTGTATAACTGCAACAACACATCCCTGCTCCTGTACTCAAAACCTCTCGCAATGAAGGCCAACATACCATTTGCCTTCTTTACCGCCTGCTGCACCTGCATGCTCACCTTCAGCGACTGGTGCACAAGGACGCCCAGGTCCTGCTGCACACTCCCCTCTCCTAATTTACAGCCATCAGGTAATAAACTGTCTTCTTGATTTTGCTCCGAAAGTGAATAACCTCACATTTATCCAAATTATATTGCATCTGCCATTGACTTGCCCACTCACCCAACCTGTCAAGATCATTATTTATGACTTCTCTCATTAATTGAGGTGCCGTGGAATGGCAACTTATAAAATTTCTCACTTTTTTTTTGGAAAAATATAAAAATGTCAATAAATTGCTATTCTATTTTATTTTATTCTATTCTATGTTAATCTATTCTATTTTATCAGCTGGGATCAATGCAACAAAAAGGAGTGATTACAGTTTGGCATGAACACAGGGTTGGAGATAAATCTAAATCTGTATCTACTTCAGTGTTCAAACAGATGTTGAAAATAGGGAGAGGACAATAGGGTTAGGGGGCAGTGGGGGACTGACTGGATTCTTTTCAAAAGAACTGACGTAAACTTGATGGGTTGAAGGGCAGCCCTCTACACCGCACTACTCGATTCTACAGGACCAACATGCATGATGAAGGTCCTCAACAGCATGTGCTAAACGTTAAAACTGGAGTATTGGGGTTAAAAGGGATAAACCGGGGAAGCACCAGGCCCAGGTTTTCTCTCATTGGCCTAGTAGCTCTGTGTCAGACATATGTTAACGTTAGCTGTTCCAAGCAACTTTCCACTGGTCATTCTCTTGGTAGTTTGTCTATTAAAAGGGGAGCAATGCAGCTGTCAGTTTGAAACCAGAGGCCAAGCAACATTTCAATAATGTTAGCCCTCATTTGCGACTGGAGCTTGTTTTGCTGCAATTTCACCAACATTGTACATACCTGGATCTGAGTTAAATGGTGGTTTTGCTACATCAAGCGAGTGAATTATAATTTCCAAAATACACTAGTGGCTCCTAAACTCTGATGCACTAAAATACCAGAAGGAAGCTCAAGTGCGACAATCTTCAACTGAGTTTAACATGAATTGAGGGGGAAGGGTCAGTGATAATAAATCATGGCACACTATACATGACAAACACCATTTGCTATTTTCCCTTCATTATTAAACAGGCAAGCACTGGAATAGGCAGGTAGGCCTCCTCACAGGCACTTTTCAAAGCTACAAGGATCCTAATGAATAAAAAAAACACGCAGGGACAGTGGGGAGGGAGGTGACATTTACTTTGGGCTTTGGAACATAACGTAACATTTCTTCGGTATAGCGTGTGAAACAAGTGGTCGATTCACTATCGCCTGCTTTTGTGTCACATCTCAAACTTCATTTCATCAAGAGAGCCTTGCTGCATTCTGGGACATTAATAAACAATGAAACATTGAACAACAATACTGAATAATCCAACATTTGTAAAGGTTCTGGTGATGCTTTTGCATTTGCTCTTAAAGTTTATTATCTGCTTGACAAGTTGGTCGAAATAAAAGGTTCAACTTTGCAACTTCTGCATTCACTCTGCCCCTACCATCCCAGAATGGAAACCTGCTCAGACTTGGGATTACTTAGGTGCAATCTTCTGAAAAACAGAAGAATTTAAATCTGGGCTGATTCTGTTCTGTTTCCAACATCCCCTCCTTCAGTCTTTCCCATTATTTTTGCTTCATTACAATTCGTAGTGTGGAACACAAGTAGACCCTTAGCACCTTGAACCTGTTATGTCATTCACTTGGTTCTTAGCTGACCTGCATTAGCTCCATACCTTTCAATAGCCTTACTTAACAAAAACCTAAATCAATCTCTTAAATTTTCAATTGACCTTGACCAGATTTTCAATTGAGCTTAACTTGGATTTCCATCAACCACAGTACAGCAAGTAAAAATGGGTTTGTAGTCTGATAATTCTGATTCAACCTATTTCATTTTTTCCCAGGATAAATCAACAGTAAGCATTGTATATATTTTCCAAAATTTTTGCCAAACCCAAAATTGCACTGAAATGTGACTAGGCTTCCTAGCAGTCCAAGTTGTTACTTACCAACTCAAAGGTCTGATTTTCTTAATCTCAAAGAACTGGGTTCCAGTGTGATTGTATCTGTCATTTATTAAGCTAAGGAAATGCTTTAGACTGACACTACCTACAGTAGCTTCCCACCACCCCTGCTCTCTCTTACAAATTACATTACAGTCTTTAGCAAATCAGTCAATTTTAAGTCAAGCAGATTTTCAAATAAGAATGTATACTGCAGAATAACAAAAAAATTGAAACAGCAGTATAAAAGTGGCCTCGGATCAAGATTGGCAGAATGAGAACTTAAAAAAAAAAGTTGGCCAAGATTGTGAAAATCTTTCATGATCTGTTCAGCATTCTTAAAAACTGCTTACTGTGAAATCTGAATAGTAAAATACAGCCTGGTATTGTACCTGTAGCTTTAAGTCTCAAGATATTGAAATTTAAATCTCTCAGATCATTTTACGTTGAGCTTTTTTGTTGCTGAATACTGATGAACAAGATCCTTGGCAACAGCGGCTTAAACTGGGAAGGAGGAAATGATCAAAATTAATACAACTCAGCTTGCCTATCAACCCCAACAAAACTGGTTGTCTGCAAAACCTGAGGAGTTGTTCTCCTTGAATCAGAAATAGTAGGAACTGCA